ATTTATTTGCTCGATGTATTTTTTTTCAAAAATTCTATACTTATAAAGGGAAGTGATTTGATTGCTTGTTTGTTTGCATTGGATGGGCTCCGAAACTGCTGGACCGATTTTTTAAATCTTTCATCCACGGGAAGCTACGTAATACGCGTTGGATATAGGCTATTATTTACGCAGGCGAAGTCTCGGGGAAACGGGTAGTTTGATAGAAATTGGGTCACAATCTAAGAAGAAATCGATTATACCTACTTTCATAAAAAATATACACACTCCTTGAATATAGAAGAAAATCTTCCTTTCGGATTTTGAATGAATTCAAAATACGTAATCTTTTGTTTTTTAGCTGAGATACATGAAATACAATACATATCATCTAAATATTTAGCTCATGTATGGTGGACAGCGTATTTTGTTATAAAAGGAAAACTACTGATTTGATTTTAATGGGAGCATCTCGGTCCATTAAGCTGTCGAATAAAATTGAAAATCGGTCAACAATTTGCGGAAACATTGGTGACCATAAATAAAAAAAAACATCATATGACCTCTTTTGGATTTTGAAGTCGGTTAAAAAATGAGGACAATCAAAGCACATTATAATAGCTTTATCGCATATAAGACGAAATCGAACACCTGGGTGGAAATTAGAGATAATGTTTGTGATTGTGTAAATATAAACAGCAGTGGGCTGCACTCACGTAGCGAAGATTATATTTAACCCACGCTCGTTATAACTCATATTTATAAACTAGATAAATATGTTACTCTATGTTTGGTGCAAGTATAATTTAATAATATCAGAGAAAATTCTGACGTTTGATTCTTCAATTTTATTATTGAATCATAGAATTTAATATTAAGGTTGGGGAAAAGTTACGATGCATTTTATTATAAAAACTGAAAATGTTATTTCAAAGCTATATATACTCTCACTATAATTGCCGAACACTAAAGTGGTCTTGTGTTCTATGACAAGAGATCAAAAGCTCAGAGTTATCAAATTTTAAAACCCCAATTCACACACCTTTTATTACTATGCGTTAATCAGGATTTCGTTAGACTTACTTTGGAATCTATAGTCGAGAGTAGAGAGAGATTTACTTGAGAATGTCATGCATAACTTAAGTAGATATTTTTACCAAATAAACAATAATTTGAATGGAGTAATAACTGTTAATAATTAGAATACTCTTATTGTTAGGTATAAAGTAGCTCGGTGGCGAGGAGGATAAGCGCCGCGGCCCGCGATCGTTGTTGTTAAGCAACTTTCGCAAGGGTCCAAAAAATTATTATCTCGAGCTATTGCTTCGGAAGGCACGTTAAGCCATTGGTCCCGGCTGCATTTGCAGTCTTTAATACCCTCCAATCCGTATTGGGCCAGCGTGGAGGGTAATGCATGGCCCATCCTACTTAATAAGGAAGGCCTGAGCCCCTGCAGTGGGGACGTAAAAGGGCTGATGATGATGATTAGCTATTAACACTTCTAACTTCATTTAAATTCTTGTTTATTTGACATATTCTGAAATAATTATCTCGACTATAAATACGGAAGGGAGGCAAGAGTTAAGCCGTTAAACTTTTCTTACACTCTCGTAACAAAACTCATCACCAGTGATCGATTTTTTCAATAAAATTTCATAGTGTTTTAATATTTCACAAACTGCATGCTTTGACAACCACATGGAATAAGACACGGTGTACTATATTTTATTGTGATTATTAAATATCATATTTCATTTCTTGTTCTAGAAAAATAACTTTAAAAATCTTACCAGTCTCAGTTCGAGATGGGATATGGATAAGGCTCTACGCTTTGATTTTATTTGACCGTACGCCGGTTTCAAGGTGTCGCCATCTGAGGTCACGGGTGAGATCTGGGTGTTGTGGGTGGGCTCAGATTCCAACACGAGTAGCTAATCGTATTAGAATCTGAGCAATAGAATATGATGTTATTTAAAAAAAAAATAACATAAATAAATATTAGATTCTAACAGCCAATTGCACAAACATTCATTAAAGTTGTTATTAGCTTAAAGCTACATTGAGCTTAATGTCGCCATTAAACCTTAATGGACGTTTGTGCAACTGACCGTAAGTCCGTATGCCAATGCGTATACTTCAATATAAATATTTATTTATGGAAAAATATGTTAAATGGCGTCTATTTTTGTTTCTATTTTTAAGTAGCTGTTACTTTGCAAAATAAAGAAAAAAATCTTGGGCAAGCTATTACGTTCGTAGTACTGCGCACCACTCACGCACACCCAACACAGATTTTATCCACATAGTAGGTGATTACGCCGTTCTTTGGTGTTTTTAATGAAAAATTGTTCTGATAGTTTATAAGTTTACTTTTCTTATTAGAATTTGAATATAAGTAATATACAATAATATTTAAAGATGTGGTTGCGTGCACAGTTGTAAGCGTAATGCCCTCGCCGCGCCCGGTGGTTTTTTTTCTAGTTGTGGGGGTAGCACCGCTTGTCAAAATAGAAAACGCCTGCGGTTCTAAACAGTAGGTCCGTTAGCGGAATCTCACATTCCGCTAGACAGGCAAGAAGGAAACTGTGTAATGCATTCTTCCTTCAATAAAAAAGCTGCATTATATCCGTTTCCACTAAATTTGCGTATTTGCGTAATATGACAGATCACAAATGTGTCAAAAGATAAAAGAAAAAATGTTTATTTGGAATTAAACTAATCTGTTAAGGCGATTCGTGAGATTGGGCGTTTCCTAGTTAAGTTATGCCTTATTCTAGGTTATTGAAAACGGGTGGTAGATGACTTCCTATATAATATAACTTTAAGAATATGAAGAAAATGGTAAACACTGTATGTATAAAAAAATTATAGAGGTAACACCTATAAATTATCAAAAAAAAATAAGGTCGACTCGGCTTAACTGCATGTAACAAGAATGTTGCAATTATACCATGACAAAAAAAAACGTATTCACCTGTGTTCCAAAACTCTTTTGTCAAACCAGGTGCTGTGCATCGTCGTAAGCGATTCGGCAAAACTGTCTAATTCTATTTCACTCTTGTCACTCTTCAATGGTTTGTCAACGCCTACTATTGACTTGTCTGGGATTTCTACGGCTTCATCGCCAGCAAAGAACGTCACCGCTGGCTTCTTTTGCTTAGATGACGAATTCGCGCGTGCGCGTATATCTTGCGGGCTGACAGACGGGGTTAACGGATAGGCACTTTCAAACGCGTCCGGCATTTTATACAATAATGTTACAGAAATATAGAGATTAACCAAGCACTCTGTATCAATGTCAAACAAGAACTACCGATTTCTGATTTGGTAGTGTGGCAAGATCGTTAAGTGATGACCCCAACGAGTGATAACTCCACAGCAGATCACGTCAACAACTGATGTAAATAGTCATTCCCGTAACCGTTTTATCGGTTATATTGAAAAGTATACTTACTTTTGTTAAAAATCTGACGTAAGATTAGATTACTATGTTTAATAATAAGACATCTAAACTAATATTATGAAGAGGAAATTTTTCAATGTTTGTTTGTTTGCCTCGAACAGGCTCCGAAACTACTGAAGCGATTTTTAAAATTCTTTCACCAATAGGTAGCTACATCATACGGGGTTGATATAAGCTATGATTTACTCGTGCGATGTCGCGGGAAGACATCTAGTATTATCTATAACGTTTGATTATTATATCGAAGTGAAAATGTAGAAGTAATTAAATTATGACATGTTATAAAAAAAAAGACTGACTTAGGTGTTGTTATAACTAATAACCCTAAATTGACCATTCAAATAGGTGCTTACGTGTTTGTCTTCATACCAGAAAGGCCTTTGGATTATTTAAACATGAGGTGGTTACTACAATTTACGAGACTTATCAAACCTATCTTGGAGTATATTTTTTAAGTTTGGAATCACTATTTCGTCAAAGTTTGCAGACAGAAAATCCCAAAGAAAGATATTTGGTTTCCTTACTTTTTTTTGGGACTTAGATATCTTGACTACAATGTAAGACTAATGCCCGCTTTAACTAACTTAGAAGATGCCTAAATATTTAGGAATCACCTAAGGTAAAAATACATTTCACCATTGACTTAAAACCGCCTAACCCTAACAATAATAAGCAACGTCTAAAGTTATAATATTCGTTATGCGACGCATTGCACTAGGCATTTGCATATATGGCATATATATGTCAAGGGATAAAATATGTAATAAAAATATTTGTTTGGAATTAAATTACATAATCTGTTTGGGCGATTCGTAATGTCAAGTATATCCTGGTTAAGCTATGCCTTAGGTTAGTAAAAATGGTTGTAAGACTCATATCTATAGTCAAGAGAAGTTATCACTTGAGATAATGTCATAATTTAAGTAAAATTTTTTTTGGAACCATAGATGAGAGTTTGAAAGTAGTAAGAACTGTTAATAGCTGATAATAATAGCATTCTAACTATTCAGTTATTTTTTATACAATAGAAATATCTGCTTTACTTATGAAATGTTTTCAAATATTTACTTCTCTCAACTATAGATAAAAAGGTAAGAACCTTAAGCCTTACTAACTTGAATGACCCTAGAGAAAGAGGAAACTTGCTTGTAACATATAAAATCTTAACTGGTAACTATAATATATGACTCAGAAAAAATACTGACAATTGTGAATATTCTAGGTCTCAGAGGACATGGTTTGAAGCTTGCTAAAACATATTCTCATATCAACTGACAATAACACTTTTTACCACAGAATTACCAGTAAATTATCAGAGAACATAACAAGACATGCACTTTGTCAGGTTTTATTATATATTTTTTCAGACCCTGTTTAAGTGTAATTTAGTGAAATAATATAAATATTCAGACTAACAATAAATCACCATAGTTCAAAAAAGAAAAATATTAATTGTGATTCTCTGTTTCAATAGATTTGAAGTGTGCTATAATATAAAATTAACTATTTCTAAGTAATCTTACTCACTAAATATCATATAAAAAGTGATCTGACTCACCTGTGTTCAGCTCGACGATAATATTTTTTTGACAGTAATGTATTCTCCTTGGGCACTTGAGTAAGGCATTCCTTGTTCTTGCAACTTTCCATTTTCGTAGCAGTAATTGATGCTGTCTGTTTGTTAAATATGTATTTTGAATAATAAAATCTTTGGTTAATCAATTTACTTGCAACACTTCTCGTTGGGTTAAACATGCACTATTTCTATTCACTATCCCGTGGTTACCTAAAGATGAAATACTGATAGTTAGAATTTACTGCTAAATATAAACCACTCAACTAAAGAAACATTATTTACATAACAGACTATGAAGTTTCAACAAAAATGAAACAATGGAAACCAGAAAATAATTAACCGCGGCATAAATCACTGCAAGCAGCTACATCAATACGGTAATATAATAATTTAAAGCATTGAGTAAAATAAAAAATATCGAATCCAATTATAGAATTTTGAAACACAAACTGAAGAAGTTGTCTTACACCTTACATGGGTACAAATCTAAAAATCAAATTAATGAATAATTTTAATACGTATGTACCTAAAATAATATTTATATTTGATAAAATATTCTTTTTCATTTATCTTCAACTCCAAAAAACGAATGAAAAAAATACGTCCTTCTATTTTACCGTCTATCAGTCAGTGTCACATATAGTGACACAGACTTAGCACAGACTATAATGAGCACCAAGTTGTCAGTGTTAAAACATTATCAAACACATGGATGCAGTCTTAGAATAATTTAGTGAATCCTTTCCGCAATAAATGCAACTTTTTCGTAATACCCATGGTTTGCAGAAATGATTGTAGCTTGACTGATAGCATGGTTCGCAACAAGTACTAGATTTCCTTCACGATATGGATTTTCATCCCGTTTTCGTCCTGGCGTCCTGGCACAAGTGTTTTAAATGCTCGTGTCTCCATTGAATTTCTTGGAATGAAGCTACAAAGTTCTTTAAATAGGGAGTAATCTGAGAAACAAAGTTGGCCGCTTCCACAATGTTACGGATGTCATTCAATATGTTTATTGAGCAATGAGGAAGTATTTAAAAAAAATAAAGAAACTACAAAAAATTATGTTACTAGATGGCAGCACAAATTGTTGGATCTAAACGTCAATTCATGACGTTAAACCAAAGAGAATAGATTTGTTAGTGTTGTTATGGATCTGATAACTTGGATTAATATCGAGTTGAAATTTAACTAGTTCGAGTTATGCAATCGCAACTCGATTAATACAAAGTAATCTTTGAATAAATTTATTTTTTATTTGTATAGAGGAAAATGGAAACTAACATAATGGAAGTGAGCACAAAGGCTTTTTAAATTTATGGAAATCAATTGAATGCTGTGATATAATTAAAAGTGGCATCTAACTACGGTATACAATAATATTACGTTTTATAAATAAAATAGGTACTTATGTCATAGTAGGTCTAGGAATTTTCATTTTAATATTTAACAAAAGTTCTGAAAAAATAACAACTAGGTAAGTTAGTTTTATTGCTATTAGTTGTTTGTTGAACTTACAACAACAAAACTACATCAATTCTCAATATTTTTTTTATATTATGTATGGTGAATGAATGAATAGGGTTTATTAATCAGCAACAAAAGTCATAAAAACAATAATTTTTAAGAAAAATCCGTTTATTATCTATAAACTTACCCGATATGTATCAAATATACTATATATTCGTACAAAATAACATAACTGCTGGCTAAAATGACGTTTGTGCAAAGTGTAACGTGCAAATAACTTGTGCTTTCGAAATTAAGACTTTATAAAACTATTATCAGTTATTAAATCTTATATTCATAATTAAATCATCTTAATAAACATTCAGCAATTAACAAGAAACGTCTGCTCTAAACGAACAGCAAGGTTGTAACTTTAAATTTCAAATGTCAAAAACACGTACAGTTATTATATTGCTACTGATCTTGCATGTCGACGGCGGCCGTCGAGCCATGTGTTAAGTTAATTCGTACGGCGGGTTTGTTCTTTTTGGTTCTTACAATAATATTGTTAATAATAATTTGAATTCCTACACAACCTACTCTAGAAATCCGTTTTATTGAAATATATTATTTACTAAGTACCTAGAGTTGTTATGGTCTCTTAAAATCTCTGCGGTGGTATCGTGTGCGTTAGGTGGTTACGATCCCTCAAATATAGTATAGTTGAGTTGTTTAGTTGAAATTAAAAAAGCAGCCCTTGCTGAGTTTCTTGCCGTTTCTTGTCAGTAAGAGATCTCCCGCCTTAGTTTTGCGAACCATTGGTAAAGTTTTCGACTTTCACAAGTACTATGTAACAGTCTAGATTGAATTGATTTTGATATTTATATTAATATCATTCGTTTTGTGGATGCATAATGACACTTCATCTTCATCATCATTTTTGTTCTCCATTCCAAACCTGAATTCGACGAAAGTTACGAGCAACCAATAAGTTGGCTCATCACTAATGTTGACGTATCAACCAAACATCGTTCCTTTACACGTAACATAATAAACAACTTAAACTTACAATTAAAATTAGTTTGAAAGTGAGACATTATAAGAAACACAAAACGATGTCATATTTATTAATCGAAAATACTCAATTTACATTTATTACGTCAGAAATAAAATTTGAATGAATATCATAAACAAAATCCAAAACTCGCGAGTGACATCTAGTATGATTTCAAGAACTAATTTTTATTTTTTAAATACTTTCTCATTCGCGACCAAAAGTTAGATAAGCTGCAGTATGGCCGATTGAGTGATTTAACGCGGAATTAAGAGCAAATCTTATGGCTGGAACATGTTTAGGCCAATCTTAATCATCAATGTTGACCAAAATAGCCAACATAAACTTCACGTCTCTATTTTTACGTTCTGCTGGGTTAGCTTGACGATGATAAACTAATGTAAAATTTTGAGTACTCCCCAGCACGAGCATTACTGCATCACAGCAGAAACAAATTGTGACCCGTTATCAGAGATTACTCGGCGTGGCAATCTATATCTTAGAAAAACTTCCTCAACTAAGCAGTTTGAGCACACTTTTCAGCAGTGGTATCCACAAAAGTGAACAGTTCCATCCATCGTGGTAGCTTGCGTCTTCGACCAAAGATATCCATTCTCCGCTGTTTTTGCCTTCAGGAAGAGGACCAAAAAGATCCATGGCTAAAATTTTAAATCTCTGATGTATAACTGGGGTTGCAGAAGTCCTGAAGGTTTCAAATTGCTTGGCTTAAATGCTGTGGCGCATTTGCGGGAAGAAGTATCTTTTTATGATTTTCTTTATCGTTCTCCCTACTCCACTGTGGCTCTTTGGAGTCGCTATCTGGATCAGTTTGATATAAAACACCTTGAGATACATAATACCCACGGTCAGTCCATATGATGAATCCACTATCTTCGAAATCATTCAAAATTTAAGCAATTTCAGAATCTCCCAGCTGAGCAACTCATATTTCGGCAGATTCTTTGTGAGGTAAATCGATAGAAATAGAACAAGCTTTACATTGTAGATTGTTGTCATAAACTGTTGGGTGAATCAGTCTACTAAGAATGTCAGCCACAATGTCACATTTTCCAGGTATATATTCCCAGTCTTTGTTGTAAGCTTGTATCTTCATTGCCGACCATGTTAGGCGCCCGCTAGGCGTCTTTAGGGACATCAACCAACGAAATGTATGTTAGCAAACCTAGGGATTAACTTTCTAAACCAGGAACAGGTTTGCAGTCATGATTTAAGTTGTTTCAGGTTGGATGATGGTGCTATCTATCGTAGAGCGTTGACTTTAACAGGGTCAGCACGAATAACCTTATTTTTTTAACCTGCGGAGATATAACATTCCCAAGATAAGTTATTTTATCCCGAGCAATACATTTGTCTCTATTCGCCCTAACACGACCGAAAAGACGTAACCTCTTAAAGACATTTCGTAGGTCTTCTACGTGGGATTCTATAAAATCAAACACCACCACAATATTATTAAGGTTCGCAGCACACGTCCTTAAGCTCCGATCTGAACCTATTCATAAGGAGCTGGAACGTCGACGGACTATTCTTTAAGACAAACGACATCCGATGATATGAGGAAGTATTTAAAAAAGTAAAGAAACTACAAAAATTTATATCACTAGATGGCAGCACAAATTGTAGGATCTTAACGTCAATAGGGTATTTGACACTTTTCTGAAAACTATTTTAAATCGTTGTTTGCTACATTATAAACACACTGTCTTAATATTTCATTGGAATCTTTTCTATTTTTGGTGAAAATAATTGTTAAAATTTAAATAGCCAAAAGCGCGCGAAAAACGCTGCTCTATGTAATGGCGCTGATCGTGCCGTCACAGGCCAGTAAATATGTCAAATCGATAAGCAACAACTGTCTTTAGAGTAAATTGAAATAATAATTTAAAAGAGAAATTTTAAGTCGTAGTGCGTATTTTTTACGTTTCTTTATTTTCCTCTGCTCTGGTTTTCTTTTTAAAAATGAGCTACAAGTGGTGCGTAGTGCCACAATGTACTAATAGTTCTATAAATAACAAACAAACTTATAATAACAAATAACAAAGAAAATAGATTCTCCATAGTTATAGTAGCTATGTAGAGTTGAGATGGGTGATAAAATTAGGTAAGGATTCGCTAAAAGTATTGAAACGTTTTTATTTCATATCGATACATTTGAAGGTTTTCTTTTTGGTTTTTTTCTTTATCATAAACATTATACGACTCATTTATATTTGTTGAGAGGGCTCGCACTTTACAGCCTGTCGACCTACAGATGGATGAGAAATTAGTACGAAAAAGAATGTTCAATTTTTTTATACATGCATGTACTATGTCTGTCCACTAAATGCATTTGGCATTTGATAATAAGATATCAGATCCCGATGATATTTTTAAATTAGTGTTTAACTTGAAGAACAGTATATATCATCAAAATCGACTTTGTAATTTTGAATTATTATATTAAAGTTCAAGAAATGAGAAAAACATGTAAGTTGCTCTTTTTTTTATATTGCTGGCGTTTTCCCTATTTCTTTGATCGTTTAAAACACTTAGTAAGTGATTCTCTTTTTCTGTATTTCGTTTTGGCAGTTCTTATCAGTAGAAGCTGCAAAGTATTCTGTTATCAGTAAATTACTATAAAGTACGATATCTACAGGTATCGATATTTTATGTATCTTTCTAACATTACTTTGACATGACAGCTGTTGACGTCACAGGCCAGTAAACAGAATCGTGATTGGTTGTGATGACGACCAATTATAGGACGTTTTTGTCGTTGAATAAATTCCTAAAAATATTGCATTTTCTTTACGTTATTTTACTAAATCTAAACATGTTTTTTCTGCAGATGTTAAGAAATAAGCTTTATTAGATTATTATCTATCAGGATGACCACAAAATGCAACTTATTTTCGATAGTGTCAAATACCCTATTCATGACGTTAAGGCAAAGAGAATAGAATTGTCAGTGATGTTATGGATCTGATAATTCGAATCAATATCGAGTTGAAATTTAATTATTCGAGTTACGCAAACGCAACTCAATCAATACTAAGTATTGTAATGTTTGAATAAATTTATTTTTTATTTGTATAGAGCAAAATGGAAACTAACATAATGGAAGTGAGCACAGAGAAGGTATTTAATGCTGTGATGTAATTAAAAGTGGCACTTAGCTTAAAATACTTATGTCATATTAGGTCTAGGATTTTTTTATTCTAATATTCAACAAAAGTTCTGAAAACAATAACAACCAGGTAAGTTAGTTTTATATTATGTGTGGTGAATGAATGAAAAGGGTTTCTTAATCAGCAACAAAAATCATAAAAA